ATAGGTAACTAATATGATGTGCAGATGAGCGTATTAATAATAGGACTTGAAGAATATTTTTATATTCCATTGTTGATACAAGTTATGCTAGTTAGACTTTTATTTAGTTAATTTCATTATAGCATGTTTAGTTTAGATTTACTTTCTACTACATGTTTTCTATCCTGATAAATAATTGTAGATGCTTTTGATAGACATTTGTGGTAGATAGAATTTCTAAACTGTTTTTCTTCCTACTTATATTTTCTTGCACTAAATGCTATACATGTTAAAAATCAAGTTTGGGGCGAGAAAGAAAAGAAAAATGAGTGAGGAGAAGCTTGAAGACATGCTTAATAAAAAATTTATGCATGTTTTAGGCTAGATTTATATTCTCCTGCAATCATTCTATCCTGATTATGAATGTATATAAATTTGATAGGATGTTGTAGTAGATAGTAGATTCAATTACTTTTCCTTCCTCCGACATTTTATGGAATTAATTGTAAAATATTTAAAAATAAAAGTTTGGGGGAAAAGAAAATTTTCTTTTGAAAAGAAGTAAACTAAATTTTATTTGTCCTTAATTAACTATGTTTTTAAAATTAATATAACATGACCTTGGAATTGGAGTTTAACTTTAAATGACTATATTTATGTTTGTAAATATTATGGCAAATTTAGGTAAAAGTTTTTAATAAGGAAGATTAATTCTAAATTTAAAGATATTTGGTATGAAAGGATAAGATTATTTTTTTCTATTTAAAGTAAAGGAAATTGTATTTTTGAAGTATTAAGAATTTAGAGTTTCATGTAAGAAGAAAAGAATGAAATTTTATGAAAAATCATAAACTAATATGAATGTATAAAGTGAAGAAAGGTAAGGAGTTTTGACTTTAAGAAGAGGATAGTGAGTTTAAAATTATTAAAAGTCTATCAAGTTATAGTAATCGTCACTTGAAAAAGAAGAAAAAAAGAAGAGAAAAAAGAAGAGAAAAATAAAAAGAAAAAAAAAGAGGGGAGAGAAAGAGAAGAAAAATGTATGAGGAGAAGCTTAAGGAGATGCTTAATAAAAATTTGACTTTACTTGAATCAACTTAAGGAAAAGACTTTATTACATTTTCTAAACTTGTACTGAAGTATTAGTAACATTACTAGTAAAATTTTCATGAAATTCTTTTTTAGATGAATGTTCTAAATATCCTTGATATAACAAATTGCAATTCTTCTTGAAATGAATACAAATTCAGAAAACTTAAAATTGATTTCAAGTATTCTTAGACTTAGAGTTTGAATCTAAGTTATTAAATGTTTTTCTTAAATTTTACTATTTTATTTACTAAACTAAAGTATAGAAGTCTATAAGTTAGTCTCTATCCTAAGTCATATTTTTATGTAGTAAAAGGGTTATTTGAGGAAAAGTAACATTTAAGTTTAGGGGATTTTGATACACCTAAAAAATGTGCAATTTTTCATACGCTTTTAATGCCTATATTTGTTGATTTTCAATGATAATGCACTTTAAGGGAAGGTATTTTGTATATTTTTAGTTTGTTTGTATATTTTTGGTTTTAGGTACAGAAAAATGAGTTTTGGAGAAAAAGAAGCAAAAAATGTAATTTGGAGTAAAAACGAGCAAGAAAGAAAATTTTTTCCTGACACATTTTGATATGTCTTTCTATGCTTAATCTCTTTTACACTTCTCACACATTTTTGAATGAAATTACACTTTAAAAAAAGGTTGTTTTTATGCTTATTTTGTATGTCTATCTATTAGAAATGTAACACAACTGAAACGGGGCGAAACGGAGCTAAAACGGAGCCAAACGATGCAAAATGATGGAGCTGCGCAGGATGGGCGCCGGCAGTGCCAGAGTTGGCGCTGACAGCACTGAAGAGCAGAAAATGACTAGAAAATGGCACCAACATCGCCCAAAACAGCGTCGACAGCGCCCGGGACGGTCATGGATCAATTTTTGGCAGTTTTTGATGTTCTAGAAGGCTCCCAGATGATTCAAACACCTCATGAAGCAATTCAATGAATCTAGACACTTGGATAAGGCTCTTGAATGAAGAGATATGTCTTTTGGATAAATAGAGTTGTCTTTTGGAAAAAATGAGGGAATTTATGTCTCTTTAAAAAAGAGGGCTTGACGCCTCTCATGGGCATGTGTGTGTGTGTGAGGGTGTGTGTGAGGGTGTGTGTGAGGATAATGTTTAGTGATCTTAGAATAGAAGTAGGAATGTAGATTTCTACCTTTTTGGAGAGATTAGTGAGGGGATTTTGAGAGAATTTGTAAGGGAATGTTTTAGCATTGCATGGATCAGCGGGAGACTTTGTGGGAGAGATGTTCATTTTTCTTTCAAGGGGAAAAAGCTAAGTATTGTGTTCTTCAGTATCTTATGATTTTATAAACATTTATCTAGTGGATTTGCTTAGATGTAATGAAATTTTTCGTTGTGTTTTCTTCATGTTTTGTGATGTGTTTCTCTTACTCTTTCTTCTTCTTAGGAAATATTGGCATGAGAGAATTATGCAATTATTTTCCTTTTACTTTTCTCTTACAATGAGTAGGATTCATGTTGATTTGGATTTTGGGATGCATGCTTGAAGAAGTTTTAATTATAAATGTGATGGTTTTTACTTGCACTTCATTTACATTACAATAAAGGTCTGTTGTAGTGTTAAAATTCGTTGTAATTGCATTAAGACCTGAGAGGGCGGTGTAATTCTCAACAAATTGGAACCACATTCAAATTCCATGGATGGTGAAGTTCATGGGGGTTGGATGCAAATAAATAGGGAAATATACTTTGATGGGCGTAGAATTGGAGATTTTATGATGACAGACTAAAATCTCCAATTCGGTCTTAGTGTTTAAAGAACTGAAGCGAGAGTTAGCCTTCATGGAGAGGGGAAGTGGAAGCCAGTATCCTCCTAGCCTAGCCACAAATTTAGGGACTAAACCTGAGATTAGCGAATGATTTTCTATAACACTGAATCAGGGCAGAGAATTAAAATTGCTCCTATTTGGCACATACAATATTTAATGTATCTCATTCCTTTATATTATCCAACTCATTACATAAGAATAGTAGTTTTGAAAATTTTAAAATTCTCCAAACCAATTCATCCAGAAAGGGTTATCTTTAGAATTTAATATTTACATTTAGGAATATTTACTATCATTATATTTAAAATTCGCATTTAGGAGCCGTTGCTAGATAAAACACCATTTTAATCGACATTCAAACCTAAGGACTAGTAGTAGTAAACTGGAATTTGACTAAGGACATCTTTCCTCGCTTCCTCGTGAGATCGATAATCGGGGCATAATCAGAAAGTCTTATATTACTTGAGTGATATGTATACTTGTGTTGATATCATTGTGACTATATAGAATATATAAAATTAAGCATATAAAAAGTCGCATCAGTCACCCATCAATGGATGCTCCCATACAAGCATGCTTAACTTTGGAGTTTCTGATGGAATTCCACTGTTACACCAAAATAAGCCTCTATGTTTAAGAGTTCAGTTCACTCACAGTATACGACTAATCACAAAATTTGTATCAAAATGAATCTTTATCAAAACTTTATCTATAAATTCTGATGCTTGTATTCAATTTTATTTTCTTTAGAATAATGAATAGAACCACACATTATAATATAGTGAGAAAAAATCATCTTACTAAATTTTTTTATCAACTTAATTAATCTACATTTACATAAAGTTTTTTTTTTTAAATATTAAATAACAATTAAAAAAATACATTATCAAAACTTTATCTATAAATTCTGATGCTTGTATTCAATTTTATTTTCTTTAGAATAATGAATAGAACCACACATTATAATATAGTGAGAAAAAATCATCTTACTAAGTTTTTTTATCAACTTAATTAATCTACATTTACATAAAGTTTTTTTTTTAAAATATTAAATGACAATTAAAAAAATACAACCCAAAATTGTATTTTTGTAGTTATAATGATTACTTTCAGAATATATGGTTTTTGAATAATAGGCAAGTCACTTTGGCCTAGTAATTGAAAGCTCTGTCTTCCAACTAAGAGGCTTGGAGTTCAAGAGTTTGACTATATGATAAGTGCATGTGTGGATTTGTGTGTGAATATATATATATATATATATATATGTGTGTGTGTGTGTGTGTGTGTGTGTGTGTGTGTGTGTTCAAAAAGAATTGGTCGAAGGATATATTCAGAGGAGAAAAGGTGAGCCAAAATGGCGTCCAATTCTCTTATACGTAAAATGTTCTCTTATTTATAAATTATAGGAGGACAAATATAAAAATACAAACTTGCCCCTAGGAGTTATTTTTATTGGTACCTCTTCGTGTCTTTGATACCTTTCACATATTAAGCTCCTTTTCATCTTTCCCTGCACTTTTAGTCATACACTATGTATGCATAATTTTTTAAGAATATTTTCATGGAAAATTTAGAATGCGCAAAGACAGCTCAAGACAAACGAGTGGGTCAACATTCTTTCGGCGCGTTCACCTTTAGTACTACAACACTGCTACAAAGTAATAAAGCCGATCAACAGGACGTGGTGGAACCCATCATCGTCATGTTGTTTCCAGTGTTGATGCTCGTGCTCTTAGTCAAAAGCTACTCTTCAGAAAAATTTTACTTCATTGGCTTCTTGATTTACATAAAAATATCTTTTTTATTATATATTTTACTCAAAAAAATACTTAGAATCTATTTTAAATGAAATTAATCTTAATGAGGAATGACATCTTGTATACACCGATGCTTCCCTCACTAATTAAGGATTTGTTTATGTTCAAATTATTTATTTTAAAGAACGAATCGAACACAATTTTTTTGACGAGCCGAAGAGCAGCTGTTGACAAACGAAAAATATCCCAAGCTTTCAACGATTCGAACTTCAAATTTCTACTGCAAAACAAAAACACTTTCGATTTATGTTCTTTTTTTCTATATTATTTGGAAAACATAAAACATAAACAAATCTTTAATTAGTGCTGATGGGGCATTCATAGCAAACAGACTCCATTCTGCTTATACGAAGAACACTATTCATTCAAAATGAAGAGTGTATATACATGGGGGAATCAGCAGTCAATACTAAAATCTCATCTCTATGTAGGAATTATTGATATGAAATAGGAAAATATACATAGAAAGAATGTATCATGCCTCTGCAACGCATACATAACAAGCATATATAAAAATAATTCAAATATAGAAATCCATACTCTCTCTGAAGCTCTATAGACATTTTGACCTCCATATGCCTCTAAACAAGCTGCTACAATGCTTCATTATTTCTCATACCAACCGCCAGTCTCCGATAGAAATTGCCACATAAGCTAAATATGTCCGATTCATTTTCCTTTATCATGCTTGCCATGGGGGAATCACTGGTTAATGTTCCTGGATCTGGCTGATACATAAAAAATGATTATAACTACGCAGTCGAAAAATCTGGTGAAGAGTTTTACCAATCTTCCAACCATTCTGGAGAGTTAAGAACAGGTTCATGAGATGGAGAGCAGACAGGCTCATTGACTTCATCTACACGATTTTCCAAATATGCATTGATACGAGAAGTGATCTCCTGAGGAACTGGAAAAGTACCATCAACAACTTCTTTCCAGTCAATGCCATTAAACCATGAATGAGCTTTTATGGAGTTGGAGCCATCACTTCCGAGCCGTGCAGCCTCGTTGACATCCAGCAACTGTTTTAAGTTGGGGAAGGTACAACATGTTTAATAAGAAAATTCAGTTAATGAGATTTTAAAGGATAAATCCAAGAAATGAAATGAGAAGTGAAGAAAGATGTGAAAAGTACGTGAACCTTGGTGATAAGGTCAACAACTTCAATACTGAAGGTATGGGGAAGAGTAAAATGTCCTTTGGAAATCTTTGCAAATGTCTCAAGTTCACTTTCCCTCCAAGATCCAAATGGCATTTCAGCTTGTAGCAAGAAATAAATTAGCACCCCCAAAGCCCACCTGAGAAAAGAAAGGACTTAATGTTTTAAGCATATCTGAGTATTTCTATACAACTTATATCACATTGATAAGTTTGTAATATTGCCAATTTTTTTTCCTAATAGATAATCATACAAGTGAAAGGGTTCCTTGAAAAATAGAGAAAAAAGAAACTGCTCATTTTTAATAGCAAATAATGATAACAACGATTCCACTTTCTTCAGATTTAGCTTTTACAAGGCGACAAATGCCAAGTCATGCGCAGGGAGACTTCAACGCATCCAAAGCACGTAAGCGCCTTACCAAGTAATTTGCTTCATTAATTGCCTATAATGCATGGTTACGATCACAAGACAGGCACCGTAATATAGAAAATGGGCAAATTATGGGGGAAAAAAAAGACGCCAAAATTCTGTCGGCCGTTATTTTTGAAAATTATGAAAATATGAAAATAATTTTGACATAAATATGATTTTTGAAAGTATCATTTTGATTTAAAAATATATGAGACCAAATGAGTCTCACATTTTGGATAGTTTGGATGACTAAGCACGATACCACGAGTAATATACGTATCCCGAAGAATAAGCATATCACTTGTAATAGGCTCAATCACCTAAACTAAAGAATTTGTGACATCCGTTTGGTCTGCGAAATATTTTATATGAGGCCAACAAATTCCCTTACCTAATATAAGGATTAGATAGGATTTATTTTACCTGGGTTCCAAGTTCCCTATAGCTGCAAGCCCCTATAGTTAATTACATCTTAAATGACTGGGGTCACTTAAGAAAACTCTCGATTAAGATCAATAGTTTTATTTTTCAAATTTTAAAATTTAGGTTTCCACAATTGGATATAGGAAAATCAAATGAGAGTGGCTCAAATAGGAACAATTATTTTACGAAATCCAAATGAGCGAAGAGTAGGGGATATCACAGATCCAGGGAGAACTCTGGTGACCTCCCAACTATCCTATTGTTTGGTTTTATATTTTTGAAATGATGTTGTTTAATGTTTAATCCTGCAATTTATTTTAGAATTTATGACTTATATTCGCACGATATCTGATCGTGCAAATAGCCTGAAAAGATAGGAGGATTTATACCGTATCGTACGGTAACCTCGGAATCCTAAAGTGTTAGGACTTATAATTGCACAACAGGGTTGCGCAAAAGCCTAAAGATGATATGTGAGAGTTTACATTGCGCTAGCCAAACCACCTCAAACTCATATGGGCTGTTATTTAAACTAAGCAAAGTGTTTGGTGTTATGAATGTGTTTTGATGTTGATAATTCATCTTGAAGTTGCACTTCTAAAAGTCCTCGTCGTGCTGCCCACGCTATTCGCTCCAAGCTCTTCAACGTAGCGCCTTTTGGGTTAGATGTCAATCTTATGTAACCACTAGGTTTTCCTAAACTAAGGTATAGTGTGTATCAAAGCAATAAAGCATGCGATATAAAAGAAGAAAACAGTACAACAGACTAGGAGAACAGTATAACATGCTATGAAATAAAATGTTGCAATGTAAATCAAACTTGTATATTTGGGAGGTCAGCTACTCCTTTAAGCTAGCTATTATTCACTATATGAATCAAAAGAAACATTGTTTGGAACTCGGGAAAACCGACAAATAAATCCACGACGGAAAACTCGGGAAACTCGACGAGTAACAATTCAAATAAAACTTATCAAAACCTCGAGAAAATCCCGGAGAAAAGAGACGACAAGTGCATTGTCCAAAATCAAATAAAACATACGAAAAATATGAAAAGAGGAGACCGCAAGCACTCGGGTCGAGACTAGGCTCAAATAATATATTTGTACTCGAAGGACATCGAAGGCTAATCGGTGACCCGGATGTATAAAGTCCGTCACTCCACTAAAAAGATATCCTATTGAACCCAACTTAAGAGTGTACTCCTTAGACTAGAATCGGTAATCAACAAGTGGACAACCCAGTTGTAACATATTTAAAATTTAAATTTTAGGATGCACATGCATATCAGGCATACCAAAGGAAAGTTGTATTTAATTTTGTAATAAAAATATTTTTTTATAAATATTGTATCTGTTCTTATCAATTTGTTTTATCAATTTTGAAAAAGTACAGTTGTCCACAAGTCGATCACGTCATCGGGCCTAGGACTACCAACAACCTAAGAAGATATGGGTCCCCCTCTAGTCTTATGTCGGTGAATGATACTTTCATTCTACAGTTCATCAGGTCCCAGAATTGAGTCTTGGTGTTGTAGAATGAGATATCATTCTACTCTACCACCGACGTGCCTTTGTTATCATCGTCTTAAGCCCCAAAACAAAACCGACCTATTTGCGAGCTTGCTTGATGGTTTCACACATAGCAAAAGACTATACATGAGTACTTATGTATCGGACATAAGCACAGAAAACCAAACCAAGAAGCAAGGAAAAAAAAAAAGAATAAAAATGGGGATGAGAGAGAAGAGGAATTAATTCACCCAAAAGATTGAAAGGGTAAAGGGTGAATCAATCCTAAAAAATGTGACAAAAGATCTAGAAAAGAGAGCTCAGGACCCTTGAATCAATTCAAAGGATATCATCTTCTCAAGTTTTATAATTGGATCAACCCTGGAAGGGTAACATTTCCAATTCGTGTTTCAAATAAATTGAAATGAGCTCAAAACTGACCTGATACTGTACTCATGACTCCATCCCTTATATGCACTCACACACCCAATCATGAACCTAAATGTCTCGTATTATCCAAATTTAATTATCAAACTTCCAAAACTCTTTTCCAAACAACAATTTCATACTCTTCCCAGATCCTTTCAATTTCTCCCTTTCATTAAAAGATTTTCATTTCATATAATCATTGAGCTATAAGATCAAATAAATATTCATAACCAGGGGCAACAATAAAGAGGAATGGCCACCACATATTTAAGGTCACGGGTAGACCTAAGAAAGGGAAGGTCATCACAGCATAAGCCTACGGATAGGGGCAAGAAAGCTAGCAGCCAAGCCCCAAAAACCAGCTAACGCGTAAAGCCAAGAAAGGGAAGGCCATCACAGCATAAGCCCACGGGTAGAGGCAAAGAAGAAGGCCCTAAAGGTAGCAACACCAAGTAAGGCTCACGGCCAAGGCAGCAAAAAGGAAACCACCATGAGTAGCGCCATTACATTGTATTTGATATACATAAAAGAGTGAATGGACAAGCTATTATAGATCACTAGGAACAATCCCACCTTCTTCCCATAAGACATGACAATGCTCAAATTAAACATTCTCACATAGAGATAGGTATTGAAATTCATGAATTTTGGGATGACAAACTTGATTGCAAATATCATATCTTAAGAGGAGCATTGAAGAAGAACACCCAACCAAGACATCCAATCAAAAAACTCAAAACAAGCCTATACCGAGCCAATAAAAAGAACCAACCCGAGCCCAAGCCAAGGGCAAATTAAGTCCAGACAAATGGGGGAACCAACACTTATATTTTTGAACGGTCATAAAAAAAATCTGCTCAAGATAGGCAAAATCGAAAGGCATAGAAACCAAACCCAGCCCAATATGAGGGGCAAAAACCGAGAGGCGTAAGGACGAAAAAACTAAAGCCACATCTTCATTTATACTTTTATCATTTATGTATTTTTGAAAGGAACTAAAACTCAACCCAAATCCATGACAAAAATCGTGAGGCATAAGGAAGAAATCCAGTACAATCATAAGGCGAAAACCGAGCCCCATAAAAACTAAAAATTCAGCCCAAGTCTACCACAAAAAGAAGTTCTCAAAGGAGCCAAAATTGAAATCCATAAAGGCTCAAAACAAAAAAAATTTCCAGCTTATATGCAGTCCCAAATGAGCCAAAAACTATGGCCTATAAAGGCTCAAAAACAGGTCAAAGTAGAGGCTAAATCGAGCCCTATAAAGGCTCAAATCAAGAGTGAATTTCCATCATTTGTATCGTGATGATAGGCAACAAGAAATAGATAAGCATCTAGAGCCAATATTCCTCAATATCGAAATGAGTTCCAACATTCATTCTAAGCATGAAAACTATAATAACTTCTTCCAACATATATTTCTAGAGGAGCAAACATGCATTTTAAACCACCAATATCATACTCCCAAATATTTTTAAACAAAGAAAAGAATAAAGGCAGCCCATATATGCTTCATCTTATTGATTCAAGGAGCTTTCCAGGATTAGATCTCAAAGGCAGACATAAACTTTTACTAACTTCCACATGCCATTCTACCATTTGTGAATATGAAGTATTAAAAGAGCAAACATCAAAGCTGAGAAATTAATTGAATGAGGGCAAAGTAACAAGCTCTATCAAACCTCTCCATACCGAGGCTAGCCGAAACATCTCTCACCTTTCTTCCCTTCTTTTTTTTTATATTTTTTCTTTTTTTTTTTAATGAAACAAAATAAACCAGCTTAATGTCCCAATCCAAGAAATGCATCACATTTTAACATGCATAAAACCATGTCTTAAAGTTAGTAAATAGGAGAATACCACACCCGTGTATATGCACCTCATAAAGATGCAAACCCCCAAATCCACCAAGTGGAACACATTAAGCCTAAAGAAGCTTTCACATGCTTTAAAAGAGCAAAGAGGTATTTTTAAATGTCATCGGAAACGTTGCAAATCAGAGGAAGCAACATAAATACCTCTTAATGTCGACTTACAGCCAAAAAAAGTAAGACAGATCCACTAAAATGCCTCCCACAGAAATCCTCCTCCTAAAAGCTTCAAGAAAGTAGCAACCAACAAATCCTTTAAACTCCCAGCACACAAAAAGATAGCCAAGCAGAAATTTCGACAGGGCATCCCTCCTAAAGCTTTGAGAAACAACCACCAACGAATGCTCCACACTCCCAGCGCACGAAAACGTAGTTTAGAAAGGATTTTAGTAGAATTTTCTTTCCTAAAAGCTTCATACAGTGAAAACACAACCTCCCTTTCACTCTCAAAATTTTAAACAACCCAAAATAGTGCCACAAGAAGCCTCTTTATAGGTATAGAAGAGAAGAGAGACAACCACCTACCAGCCACACTGGCCAACAAATCAAAAAGAGGGAAGGAAGCATCACAATAAAAGAGGAGAGCGTTCAGCCTCGAGGAGAAGTGTTGGCCAGCTCGTCTCTTCTAATTAGAGAGCCGAACGGTTGTCGTGTCGCTTAAAGAAGGGGAAGAGACGGGGAAGAAGATGGCAGCCGCGTGGATCCATCGTGGAGGCTAGGGCACAAGCGAGAGGCAGAGCCGAGCACTTCACTTGTTCGAACCCGTGAATGGGTCGAATAGGTGGTGAAGGGTGTGAGTGAAAACCTAAATAGGATTTAGGATTTAATTAGATTATAATTAATGATATAATTATAAAAATATCAAAAATTTTGAAAAATAAAATTTGATTTATGTCTTTCATTCGTGCGTCGAAACATAACAAAATTGGTATCATTTTTAAGTAATTCTGACATTCCGGACGCACTGGCGTAGTTCGTTTCACCGTCGGAGATCGTTTTGATGAATTCATCGATTTGTGTGCAAATTTTCTCGTGTCGGAAATATAGCAATATGGGCGTCCTTCCTAGCTAAAATTGGCGTCATGGACGCGCTGGCGCAGTCCATTTTGTCGTTGAACGTCGTCCGGAGAAGTTCGCATTTTCACACATCCTTTAAGCTCAATTTAAGTCCGATTTTGTGCAATTTAGTGAATTTTGTGCATTTTGTGTATGTGATGATAAAGTCATAAAGTGATTTTTCTAAGGCTTGAAATCTTATTAGGAATACCTCCCTGAGTCTCCACACAATAGCCCTTAACCGCTCGTCCATAAGTCAATGGTTTTCAGATCAATGGTTTTCAGACATGGTTTTCAGACCATAAATGTTAGACATCACAGAAAAATAGGAAGTGGCTGGAATTTCTAAAAAAAGCGGGTCCAAGTTCTAGTTTTCTAAGATAGTCAATAGGAACCCCTAGAGCTAGATTCTAGTATCCTAAGAAAAAGGAGTAGTGACCTCAAAAATGGGGTCAACAAATACAAGATTATTTTTTACTCAATTAATTAGTTGCACTATAAAATAGTAGACTACATGACAAATATATACATATATATAGCACAAAACCAAATAATATATTAACTTAAGAATATTAAAATCATGCAATAGAAAGGAAAATTGACAGAAACCGATAAAAAAATGAAAATTAGAAAAACAATCGTTAAACTAATAAATTGCCTTAAATGTATACAGTTCAATGAAAGAGTCAATTGCTGGAACCTCTTGAGACCTTTTATGTTTTGATTGGAAATAAAACATGTTTGACCTGTTCAAAAAAAATAATATAAAAAAAACTTAATAAATTTTAGATATTATGATTATTTTCAAAAAAAATTTGATTTATTTAAAAAAAAAACATGTGAAAAGTACATTATACAAACATATTTTCAAAAAAGAAGTAAGAAACAAAATTGAAAAAAAAAAAAAAAATTCAAACAGGTCCTTGAGTAATAAAAACAAGACATGCAAAATGATGTGTTCCCATGGTGTTAACCGACATGATATGGCAACCCGCTTGGTGGTAAAATAAAGTGCAATGGTTAGGTAAGATAAGTTTGTTTCTTGCTCCTACATCTTTTAATGAATAAAGGATACAAAAAATAACTTCAAATTCTAAACAACCAAATTAAACGATTTAATATAATCCAATTCAGAGGAAAAAAAAAATAGCAGAAAAGGTATTCTTGGAGACCCTCATTAGTTAAAACATATAGGAAGAGAGTAATAAAGTTCTCAGTGCACCGCGCCTAAATAAAAGTATTTTGAGAGACATAATGTACCCAAATATATGTACATCAATAACGAGGTTCTTTTCACAAATTTGAACACGCAATGGTGACAACTGTAACATCAAAGTTCTCTCCCTCTTATTGAAAATTAGTAAGAAAAAACTTATAAAAAGAATAGAGTATGCAAATCAATTGCACGCAACATCAACACCAAGTTACCTATGAAATACATAAGCAACAATAAATTAACAAAATATGTAAGTAATTAACTATGTTGTCAAGAGCAGCGCAGTATAAAACTATGCTTTACTTAAATATTTACTTCAGATTGAAGAAAAGCGAATTGCTTTGAGAAAATCATTGGTTGATTCAATTCCTTCAGACATTCAGTTTTTTAAATCTAAATTTCATGAAAAAGTTAAAAAGCATATAATTCATGGAGAAATTTTAGAAAGATGAATATTTACAAGCAATAATTTCGTCCCTCATAAGATATAATGGCTAAGAACTAATTAGACAGATAAATTTAAGATGTTAAAGACAGACCAGTCCGCAGCAAATCCATGCCCTTTCCCTAGGATTATCTCTGGGGCTAAAGAATCTGCAATCCCACATATGGTGAAGGTTCTTTCTCCACCTAACTTCTTCGAAAATCTAAAGTCTATCAACTACAACATAAGAAGATAAACAAAGTTATAAACACCAAATCATGATTTGTATGAATCGCCCTCATAGTGTGCAACAATATTTGTAGTGATTACCTGCAGGTGTCCTTTTTGGTCAAGCATCACATCATCTCGTGAAATTCCTCTTTGAAGAACTGAATTCTGCGGTCACTAATAAAGCATCAGTTACTTTTTTTTTTTCTTTTTGTAAACAAGGGGATGTGCATGGTGCACAAGATTCCCACCACTATAGATGTCAAATGTGAGGTAGGCGCTCCGGGAAGACAATATAAGGAGACACCTTCCAGAAGAGCGCCATTAATAACGCAATCTTGCCAGACTACATTTTCATCAGGTGGCAAGATGAGAGTGCCTTGCCTAAATTGATCGATTAGTGTAATTATTTCGAATGTGAATATATATATATATATGGTAATGGTTTGACATGTGATGCAGAACAAGCACTAACAGTACTAGAAATGAGGATGTCCGCTTGAAAATAAGTGACAAATGGTAGGTAGAAGAAATTGAAGTCCTGAAAAAATAAATCTTCTCAAGAGAGAGAAAAGCATAGAGGGAAAAAAAAGAGAGATTATGATTGATGGCAATGATAAAATATAAAGTAGGGGATACTGATTATGCCAGATTATGAGTACTATAAATTTAAGTAGCATACTGCACTTGTTCAAGATAATTTATTTACAAGTACAATTGAACCTACAACCTCATATCTTCCTTGCTCACTTTAACGCGATGATTATCATTCCATCCCCAGCAAATTATTTCTCATGCTTAAAATTAGCTTTAGTAATAGATTTACTTTTTCTTTAGTCTTGTTTTGCTTATGCAAGTAATTAAGAGTGTCTATTAACACCAGATGAATTGAAGATTGATATCACCTAAAGAGCCCCTTTTGGTATTTACAACACTACGAGTATGTAAAGCATGCATATATATATCTTTATACTTATATTTTCATAAAGGCTACTTAAAAATTTTGACATCTTAACATCTAGTAAAATATGATAGAACTGTTGTTACAAGCCTACCGTCTATTAAGGAAAGTTACACTACAAGAAAGTCGGTTACTTTGCATGTGCATCTTATTTTTTAATCAGGTAGGACTATGAGTTTAATTTCTCAAAACGAAAAGGCAACTAACCTTATGTAGCTCCTCCAAAGCAATAACAAGAGAAGCAGCACAGAATCGTGCAGAAGTTTCATCCAATGGTGTGGTGAGAACAGATGACAAAGTACACACAAGGAAGCAATCGAGCAAAATTCCAACATGTGACTGATCAGCACAGGTACTTAGTACAGTTGGCATAGAAGCTGAGGCATTTAGACTCATTAATATTTTCTTTTCCTTCATCACCTGTTCTTCCTTTCCAAGATCTTTAATTTTTATCTTAGAAAACCTCTTCAAGGTTCGAACAGTATCTGCATTTCAGTCAAATACAAGATAAATCACATGCAATTGTGAAAATGTTTATAACCAGTCACTCCAAAGAACCTACCAGTGCCTTTCAAAAGGACAAGTCCTGTCTCACAGCAATCAGTTGCGTTAATGTTCATTTTCCACTCCTAAATAGGATTGAATCGATTGATACTCAGCAGTAAAAAGTCCTCCAAATAACCATATTTTGCATTAATTTGGTTCCAATTTAAAAAAGAACTAGAGCTATAAACCCCATACCAGATCAGAGGCCTTAATTCTCTTGCATGTTGAAACATCATTTTTTACTATGCTTTCCTTTGAAGAACCTAAGGAATATTTCATCCTGCACAACATATTATAACTCAGCTCAGCCTACTAAGAGCAAAGACCAAGAAACATTTTAGAACAGGTTTATCAGAACAACCACCATACTTTCGATCTTCATAATGAAATTTTGGAGCTAAACCAACAGCTGAATCAAATTTCTCCTTTGTAATAATTAAGCATACCGCATCACCAATAGAACTCGCTGACAAAGAGCCAACAGATTCCCCAAAAAGTGTCCATTCTCCAAAGTGACTTCCCTCTGTCAACTCCACTACATGTTCATTATTGTCTTGAATTGCAGTTCTCTGATCCAAATCAGTGGAAAAAAGAGGGGAAGCAACAGGACTTGAGGTGTCTACAATATATGATAGTCTAACAACACCTTTCTGAATGATGTATAGACCAGTCAAAGGCTTACCCTGAAATAAAAATAAGATAGTACAATCAGTTTTGAGGATAAACCATGGAACTACTATGACGTACAACATATATTTCAAGCCATAGCTAAATTAACAATCATTCATGCAAAGACATAGAAAAACCTTTTAAAACTTCAGAAAAGTAGCCTAATGTTGAGGATTGGAGATTTTCTAGAATTTGGAACTTTGGTTAACTTTGTATTTTCTTTGGCACATGATTGTGGGTAATTTGAAACTAAAAGGTTTAAGGAAATTAAAATTTTCAAATATTCCTTTTGTCTTAAAGAGTGTTACGAGTCAAAATACTAGAATCTACACTACCTTTTCAATTATTTTTTGCTCATCGGAGAAAGAAACTTCCACAAGCGACTCAGCAATATGACTCAGTTGTAAGATTGTCAGCCTTGAAAAAGGCTCTATTGATCTGAGCAACTTCAACAATGCTAGGTTGGAAAACTCAGATGTAAAAATTCCTCGAAAATCCTCCCTTTTTAATGCCCAGAGTGTTCCAGTAGTTACAGCACGAACAGATGACTGAAGCGGCTTGTTGTACCTGGTTTAAACATTGTGAGAAAATGTGACTTCTTTAGATGTTAGCAGAATAGGCAAACAAAAAAGACATTATGAATGAATTCAACTAAAATTATGAATTTGTAAACTCCCTTGTGTATACTTCAAACTTCTCTCCTAAAATCCTCCTTCCCGTCAATACTGAAAATTCCCCTCCATGAGAACAAAACAAAATAGGCTATATCAAAGTACAACTAAATTGTTGAGTAGAGGATTTGCGTAATAGAGGATTTTTTATAGCATCCATTTTATCAACCACTTGTCATATCAATTGAACGATGCCCTGTAGCTCAGCTGCTATGGTTTTCTCATTCGTTTTATTTTGAGTGTCATTTTTGCCTAAAACATTTTTAGATCTTACTTCTTACTTTGCATTTGGCCTAACAGACTGACCCTCAGTATTTTCTGATTATCTTTCACACATATTTATCTGTATTGGCAATAATTACTATTTCAAAGTAATTTATCATATAATAATTATATCGTGCATGCATGATATTTTAAGTCGTATGGGTTATCCACCCAAGATTTATCAAACTATAGCTTTGCATAAATCAATTGATATTTAATCACATTCTTACTTCTTCTAAATCCAGCACGCTTCCATCATTTTCTTTATTCAATAATCATGCTCTGATATCACTTTTTATCACACGCCAACTGGCTCTCCTTTTAAGGGTCGGCTGAGGTGCAACACAGACGGACAATTCAATCTGACTAAATTCTCACCAACACTCATCCTGACTTGGGGAATCAGAACTCAGTGAGTGATAAACTAGTCTAACTAAATTATCGTTATTATACGTAATGCATTGCATTTCATAATTCATTCATATACACATTACAAAGAGTGAAAAATCATATCATCAAATCATATAACTATATAAAGTTGTCAAAATCCAATATGAATAAAAATACATACCCAAAAATTATGTACAAGCTCCCAAAATTATAAGTGAGAAAGCTGTACAAGTCACACCTGACTACTCACACTCCTGAGCTCCTTAACCCTTCCTGAAAAATAATAACGTAGAGTGAGCAACAATGAGCTCAGGAAAATAATCAAAGCTAAAATAAAATTTTATACATGAAAAGGAAATAACGTGCTTGCTCAAATGAAATTGTGCATATCTACACACAAGTCACAATACGCTAGAACCATATAATACATGACGAAAAACAAGTAGTGTAGAAATCAAGACGTGTAAAACATATATATATCAGTATATTCATGTATAGTCATAAACATATTCATAATAACATAGTCATCACAGTGTCATCATAGCAATATCATCACATGATAGCAACGTCACTTGTAAATATATAGGTTTCAACTATTTTCATATTCTCTTATATAATGAGTCATTATTCTGCCCCACAGATCACATAAAAACTATCAAAAAAGGTTGTCCCCCAACATAACAGTCATCAATAGCACCCTTGGTACCAACAATTCCCTACATTCTGTCACCACTTGATCAAAATGGTTCCAGAAATTCATAGTCGGGTGAACACCGGGAGTCGGAAATACCACATCCCTGCATAGAGTACTTGCAAGAACTTCTATATAATTCTAGACATAATATTTCTTGTGACATTTCATAAAGCATAATATCTGTAGCATATGCTCATAGACATTTCATATATCGCATGTATGAATCATAGCAAATGAATACCTGCGGGCATTTATTTCATAAACATAGTCATATATATCATAGCATAGTAGCATCTCATATATTGCAAGAGAAATCAATTGGCATTCATACATTTCATGTAGATATTCATCTACAATATACAAGAAGTCTAAATGCAATAGTGTCGAATACATAATCACATAAAACCTACATAAGGATATTTTTCTTAAATTAGCACATGATTATTTTATCTGACTTGACAGAAAAGCTCTACGAAGAGTTTCTATGCTCGTCTCAAGCTCGCCGCTTCATGTAAACAATCTGGAATTCTTAGGCAACTTAAGGTTTCATGAAAACTGGTTCATAACATGCATTAACCCAAAACATGTCTTAAATGCCAACACACCTCATACCGGCTTTTCTCGAAAAAACCCAACCTTTTTTCAATCCGCCTAAACTTCTCACCTATTCTTCTTAGCACCTCAATCCTCTCTTCCCCTTCACTGATTTCATGACCAAACCCTTATAAAAGCTTGCAAACCAAGTTCGACGCTTTCGACACAAAATTGCCTCCCTTTATGGACGCCAATGATGAAAAAATTGCATGAATTAAGAAATACGTCAAAATGAAAACATGAGGATGGCAAAAAAAATCTAGAATAGTGAGCGAGAAGGATTCATGCTCATTGAAATCGTCCCGGAAGTCATTACCATGAGTTGCAGTTCCCAGGTGCCCGCTCGTACCTTCCCCTACCCCCACCCCCTACCCCCACCCCCGAAATTCCTCGCTTGAAGGCAGATTACGGGAGAGGGGAGTGGGATGCTGCACTTTATCTCGTCCTCCTCTCTTCTCAGCCCCTCGATTAAATCGAGTCCTTGCATGAATGTATAAGTGCGCAAAGGTCGCCTGGATATAGTGTAGAGACGGAAGATTAGGGAAACAAGAGGATTAACTAAGGTTTAATTAGATTAATTAAACTTCCAAATTTTATATCTTCCAATCTATTAACAATTCACGCTTAGTGTTATATATCGAATTAATCGGTTTGATTAGTAGAACTTTAGAAAATTGCTTCGAGCAAATTCTAAGGGGGCCTAATTTGGGTACTTTATAATTTGCCAAAAATCTTTACTTGGTTCTCAAATTTTGGGCGTTATAGAGGATAATGACACGGAAGCTCTGTTTGATCAAGGACCTCGTGATTCTGTATCCGCGAGATTCCGCAATCAGTAGGTTTCACGGGATCGTCAAAAGCCCGCAATCGCATGAATTGGAACAACCTCTAGCTTGAAATATTTTTTCTTTTTGATTTCTTCCCTATTTCTCTATTTTTAATTGGTCTAATTTCTCTGTGAGATCTATCTATATTTCATTATTCCCTATTTTTTTAGGCTAATAGCTTTGTTTATGAGATGTTTTCTCCTAATTTTCTCTATTGGAGTGTTGCATCTTTGAATTTCATTTAGTGGTGTGTTTGTAACATAATTGAATCGAAGTAGGGATCACTCCCGGACATTCAAATGCTTCATTCATTATCAAATTTGTTGCTTGCTTCTATATGATAACAAAAAGGAATAGCTTTTCGCTTCTGGTTCGCAATCATCCCACCGCTCCCGCCGAATTTCAACTGAAAACCATCCTCTCGATTTCCTTAACTATCCAACAATTTATCTACCCCTTTCTTCTACTCTTTCACACCTCTTAAGAACCATAAAATGGTTTCATAAAATTTGATTGCTTTTTCATGAATCACTTTATCATAAAAGAACTTGATCATTATTTCCTTACAACATCCTTATCAAGTTCCAATTAACTACTTCAATTTTACCATTCGTCCATGGTGGAATGTAAAACTCTTTTTTCATTTTTATGTCCATCATACTTCACAATGCTCCCTAAAACTACCAAAGGAATTGGTTGTCTCTAATTCTATTAAAAATAATGTAGGTAAGCTAAAGTATTTCCACAAGAGTTAAGAGAATAGCATTGTTGCTTCTCCTAATTAAGCATTCTTGTCAGGAATCAAGCTCGCACTTTCTAAAAAATCAATAATGATTAACACATAATTAAATTATTTCTTAATCTCAAAAATCCCTAAAAAATTTTAAGAATACTTTACAGATGTCAGCAATTTTTTACTTGATAGCATTGAAGCATTCTATTAGAATAAACCCTTAATCACTTAATCTCCATGTCCATCTTTATGCCATCAGAAACATCTCTTTGAGTTTTGTAGCATCTTCTCAGCTCTAAAATCTACTACTATATATTTATAATTTATGGGATCGCTTGAATCAAGCGATCTAATCAGTCCTATATGATATGCATGATAGATGATGTTTATGGCAGAAGAATCATCTTTTGTCATGACTCGACCCGGGGCTTGAAATCAACCAAAGTAGAAACATACGGTCGGACGGTGATAATCATAATTTTCTATTTTCATTTTCTATAACTAACATTTAATCATTCTGAAACAAATGAAAGAGTCACTACAAAATTAATAATAAATTCAACAAATAATAAATTTACATTGACTCGGATTGCTCGCGTCTACTATAGATATTCATTTCTCAATTACCATCTTTTAACCTGAAAGGTTAATTTTAAATAAAATGAGCTACAATAAACAAAAAATACTCATACTTCTAAACTATAATAATGCAATGAATAAGAAAATAATATGACATTTCACAATTAATATTTATTAATATAATCAATCAAGATATTTCAAAATATTTATTATTTCATACTATATTATTTCAATAATGATATCATTTTATATACAACCATCACAGAAGTATCGTCTAAAGTTATACCATTTGAGGTATTTCAATATCAATATCTCTTTTTTATTTACGTGCACAAGTACCTTATCATTCCTATGCTAGTACTATAAAGGGATGAATTTAATTATAACCAAGTATGCACATACAATCAGTCTATACATTTCATCTCATTCATACATTCTTTTCATTTAATTTTAACTTTAAATAATACATAACATTAGTAGATTTAAAATATATATTCATCGCAGAGATATGACAAACATCTAAAAGAGCATATAAATCATAGTACAATGGTGCAAGCAGGTTTCAGCAAAAATCAATGAATTCAGTTTAAAAGAAACAAAAACTACTATAGCTTAAAACTAAGAGTACTCACCTTAATTTTCATTGAGTTACTCTTTGGTTTGCCTTAGCCTCGACTCCTCTAATTTGCTAGCTATAATAAACATATGTATTCCCTTTAATAAAATTTTATTATATTAATTCATTATGGAAATCTAATCTTTACTTGCTTATTTATTTTAGTTTATTTTATTATTGATATTACATTATTTAGGCA